TCATCAGTCCAGTTCTTTGACAATTCATCACATTGAGTCCCGATCAGTTTTCTTAGTGGATAAAACACAGATTTTCAGCGTCAAAGCAGCTGATTCATCAAAATGTTAAAATATTGGAAGCACTGTTTGTTCCGTAGCTCCAGTTGAAGCAGAAAGCCACTTGCACCCCAACCTGACCTATAGAGCCGGTATTGTTGCATCACCACAGAGGAAATGCACCCTGCAAGGCTTCGAAAGCAAAATCTACACCAAACCGATCTAGTCTGAATTCTCCTTCATCCTTTGAAACATCCTCAATGACCTCTGATAGCTTCACAAGGCGACTGGAACTCCTTTTACGGTTATATTCATCTTAATTCTACATATAAAACAATTCGGAGTTAGAAAAAGCAGCTTTGGGGTGATCTGCTAACACCTTATCTCAAAACTCATCATGAGTTCCAGGTTTCTACAGATTGAGGCAAGTTACATGTAAGACTTTTTTAATGCTATTGGAATGACATTTAAGACCAATATTACATTTATACGATTTCCAGATGTGCATTAAATAAATGCGAAAGGTGTTAAAGGAGTGTGTAAGGGTATAAGGAATTGAAGTTTAAACACTTGAACAAACTAATGAATAAGAAGAAGAACTGGACTAAATGTCCTGTAAGGTCTCCAACCAAAGCTGGTACACACACACACACACACACACACACACACACACACACACACACACACACACACACACACACACACACACACACACACACACACACACACACACACACACACACACACACACAACACACACACACACACACACACACACACACACACACACACACACACACACACACACACACACACACACACACACACACACACACACACACACACACACACACACACACACACACACACACACACACACACACACACACACACACACACACACACACACACACACACACACACACACACACACACACACACACACACACACACACACACACACACAAGTTGCCCGAGGACAGGGCTGATCTCTGAAAGATGAACACGGAGCTGCAGGTCATTTCATAATCATTGGAGCAGAGAATCAGTGTGTGTGTGTGTGTGTGTGTGTGTGTTTGTGTGTGTGTGTGTGTGTGTGTGTGTGTGTGTGTGTGTGTGTGTGTGTGTGTGTGTGTGTGTGTGTTACTGCAGCTGCAGTCACTACGTCAAGGACCCACGTGCCACACACACATACACACACATATGAGGGGAGGGAGGATGAAGGTCATGGAGGACAGAATGATAAGGACATCACAAAGACATAAATAGGACAGAAGTTGGGATACAGTGTGAGTGTGAGTGTGAGTGTGTGTGTGTGTGTGTGTGTGTGTGTGTGTGTATGTGTGTGTGTGTGTGTGTGTGTGTGTGTGTGTGTGTGTGTGCATGTGTGTGTGAAACTCTCTCTGGTCCCTTTCGTGACATGTCTCCATGCTTTAAAGTTCAAAAAGCTCTTTATTTTTCTCATACTGCCTGTGAAAAGCACAATAGGGCCCATTTTAAATAGTTTTTGGGGCCAATGGCATAAATAAGAGACTCTGGAGCTACATAACATTGGCGCCATGCTGCAGATAAAAGAGCAAAATACTTATTTTAAAGAGAGAAACATTGTTTTATAAATCAGGTGTGAGGCAGCGGAGCGGAGAGGAGGAGGAGGAGGCGACCTTTAGATCAGCATGTCTCTGTAATGTGAGAACTCACCCTTTTCTTTTGATACTTAGTGATTTAACATGAGGCTGACCTTCTCCTTCTCCTCCTCCTCCTCCTCCTATCGGTGTGAACATTCAGACCTTTCCGTCCAGCAGAAACTGTGTGAAAGAGACCTTTTCAGCGATTAAGAAACACATCTTGAATCTCCGTCAGCAGTTTGTCTCTGTTGTTTAATTTGGACAGAGAAGAGGAACACTGTGCCCCTCCTCTCCATGTATACGTTACGCAACTTATTAATTGGGCTTTTACTCAATTACTATTACAAACAGGCAAAAACATATTTCACTAAGACACAAAACACCACCAAAAGATGGATAGTCTTGCTTGAAAAATGTGTATTTAGTATATATTTTATATCCATTAATTTGTATTCATCATTTACTAAAATGTGTATCAGAATCCAACTAGAGCGAAATGTAAGAATTGGTCAATTAAACTATATTTTTTGAATGCCAAATATGTTGTGTTTCGAGGATTTTGGGCTATTCTCAGTTTCATATCGTTGTAAACTAAACATCTGAAGTATATTTTTGTATTTACTCCTGATTTTCTACCGAAGCAAATACATGCAGGTCTTTTACTTCGAAGTGTTTACTAGAAGAAACGTCCAAGGCATTCTTCTTTCTGGTAGTAAACAACCTTTGTTCAGACGGCTGTTTCAGAGTGAAAGGAAAATTATATTTTTTACAGTAACTTTTACAAGTCAATGATCCACCACTACACAGTCAAAAGTGAACGATAACAGTGAAGTTAAAAATGTCATTTGTTTATGTTTTTCACAGCCGACTGTTAAATATTCATTTTTCCTGGCTCTACAGATCGTAACTTTCTTCTACGGGAAATGTTGTTGTTTACCTTAAAAACACGTGACCTCAAGGCCAAATATCAGCTTTCTATTATGGGTGAAAACTATAAATACAGGGCTTTGTTGAATACTCAATTCCTATTGGTCAATTACGGCATGTACGTTCTGTTATCTCTATATAGCACACGCTTATGTAGAAACAGTCTGGTTTTAAAGAGTCCTCTCCTGCTGATGTTCAGGTGTATATCAGTATGTAGTCTCTCTACTTTAAAGAGTCCTCTCCTGCTGATGTTCAGGTGTATATCAGTATGTAGTGTCTCTACTTTAAAGAGTCCTCTCCTGCTGATGTTCAGGTGTATATCAGTATGTAGTGTCTCTACTTTAAAGAGTCCTCTCCTGCTGATGTTCAGGTGTATATCAGTATGTAGTGTCTCTACTTTAAAGAGTCCTCTCCTGCTGATGTTCAGGTGTATATCAGTATGTAGTGTCTCTACTTTAAAGAGTCCCCTCCTGCTGATGTTCAGGTGTATATCAGTATGTAGTGTCTCTACTTTAAAGAGTCCTCTCCTGCTGATGTTCAGGTGTATATCAGTATGTAGTGTCTCTACTTTAAAGAGTCCTCTCCTGCTGATGTTCAGGTGTATATCAGTATGTAGCGTCTCCACTTTAAAGAGTCCTCTCCTGCTGATGTTCAGGTGTATATCAGTATGTAGTGCCTCTACTTTAAAAAGTCCTCTCCTGCTGATGTTCAGGTGTATATCAGTATGTAGTGTCTCTACTTTAAAGAGTCCTCTCCTGCTGATGTTCAGGTGTATATCAGTATGTAGTGTCTCTACTTTAAAGAGTCCTCTCCTGCTGATGTTCAGGTGTATATCAGTATGTATTGTCTCTACTTTAAAGAGTCCTCTCCTGCTGATGTTCAGGTGTATATCAGTATGTAGTGTCTCTACTTTAAAGAGTCCTCTCCTGCTGATCAATTAATCTTATACTGACAAAAGACACACACACACACACACACACACACACACACACACACACACACACACACACACACACACACACACACACACACACACACACACACACACACACACACACACACACACACACACACCACACACACACACACACACACACACACACACACACACACACACACACACACACACACACACACACACACACACACACACACACACACACACACACACACACACACACACACACACACACACACACTACAGTTACTCACACACTCACAGTGTATATAAATAGCACGTGGGGCTGTCCTCAACTAAACAAACCTTGGTTGACTAACACTCATAAGATGTTGTCGACTGTCTAAATATAACCCTGTGTCCAACAGAAATATGCTCAAACGTCTTGATAACAAGTCATTTAGCATAAAACTATAAAGAGCTGTAAAGAGATTTATCATAATCACAATATGGACTAGTGGAATATTGCAGGAAGATAAATATTGATATGTGTGTTAAAATACATTTTGAATTAAGTATTGTTTCGCTGCAGAGCATCTGCACCAAACATAACACACACACACACACACACACACACACACACACACACACACACACACACACACACACACACACACACACACACACACACACACACACACACACACACACACACACACACACACACACACACACACACACACACACACACACACACACACACACACACACACACACACACACACACACACACACACACACACACACACACACACACACACACACACACACACACACACACACACACACACACACACACACACACACACACACACACACACACCAGCTGCCCCCTTTTCCAATCAATGACAAATCAATGAGATGCAAATTAGACAAAAGACTCAGTTGAAACCGCGCCCCCTTTGAACATAAGTCCCGCCCACATCCCCACCCACTCCTGTCACTCAGATTGAACTCATTGTTCCCTTCTTGTTGCACTGAGGTAAAAAAAACATCTCTCTTTTTTTCCTTTAATTTCTGCAGGTTTTTTTAACACTTATCTGTTTTTTCTCACTCACTGTCCTCAAAGCCAGCTAAAGGAACGGTCCACACTGCTGTGCACAAGTGATTTCAGGTTTTTACACCTTTAAAAAGCTGATTCATCTTCTTCTTTCAGCACTAAAATCTGTCTCTTCAGCCTCTTTCCCCAATAATTTTGTGCAAGTTTTTGCACCTAAATCTGATATTCTCCCACTCAGACTCACTAGGAACAAACAAAGTCAGATGAAGTCAAAAGTCTCTCTTTGCTTCCCTTTAATTCTGCAGGTTATGTCACAATTAAAAGCAGCAGTCGGCACTGTTTGCACACGTAAGACCGGTGTTTCTTTGTAGCTTTTAAATCTGATTTCTCTTCGTCTTTCAGAACTAACATCCATCTCTTCCTCACCCACTCCTGTCCCTCAGATCAGACTCACCTCCTCCGTTCTTGTAGCACAGGTACGGGAACCTCCACACGTTCCCCAGTCCGACAGCGAATCCCACGCAGGACATCATGAAGTCCATCTGCCGGGTCCATGTTTCTCTCTCTTGATAAGGCACCACAGCAGGGGGTGCTTTCTTCTCCGGCCCGGCACATGCTCCAGCACCGGACCCAGCCCCGGTTAACGGGACCAGGCTACCGTTAGAGGCTGCTGGGGGGTAACCACAGGCACCGTTTGGATGTAAGAGGGGGGTCTTCTTGGTTTCCTCCAGGAGAACCAGAGAGCAGGAGGAGGCCGACAGCGCCTGCTTCTCCATCGCTCAAAAGTCCAGTCAGGAAACCGTTTACTTTAAAAAAAAAGTTGGTAAAAGGGTAGAAAAACCCGGGTCAAGTTCCCTTTAATTTCTGTTTCTGAGCCCCAAAATCTAGTGCTTTCCCACTTAGACTCACCCAAATAACCAGAAACTAAAAAAGTCAGATGTTTTCAAAAATCTCTCTTTGCTTCCCTTTAATTCTGCAGATTTGGTCTCTTAAACTCTGACTTTTTGTCAGTCTATTAAAGGAGCAGTCTGCACTCTTTGCACAGTTATTTCAGTTTCTTTGTACCCTTTTAAAAAGGTGTTTCCTCTTCTTCTTTCAGGACTAAACCCTGTCTCTTTCTCACTGTCAGATACCAGTAACTAACCCCACAGTCTGCACTGCTTGCTGGTCAATTCAGTCTATTTGCCCTTTAATTCTTGCACGTTTTTCCTTCAGAATCTGGTCTTTTCCCACTTGGACTCACCCCAATAACCAGATCCAAACAAAGTCAGATGAAGTCAAAAATCTCTCTTTGCTTCCCTTTAATTCAGCAGGTTTTAACTGTTATTCTCACTCCCTTCCCTCAAAACCAGCTAAAGGAGCAGTCCACACTTTTTTGCAGTTTATTTCAGTTTTTTGTACCTTTAAAAAGCTGATTTCTCTTCTTCTTTCAGGACTAGAATGTGTCTCTTCCTCACAGTCAGACACCAGTAACAAACCCCTCAGTCTGCACTGGTCGCTCTGGTATTTTCAGTCTCTAACCTGTTTATTTGTGCCGCCTTAGAGCCTCAGAGTCCGGTCAGAAACAGATGAGTCAGTCCAGCAGGTGCAGCTCGTCCCGCTGCAGGATCTCTATTCTCGCTCCTTCTCCAGTAATAATAACAATATTATTATCAATCTCAGCGAGGTGCAGGCGGATCGTGGATCATGCTCCAGAATCTGTTTTTAAAATCGAATGAAAATTAAATAAAATAAATCGAATAATGTCTAGTAATAATCTGGAGACATATCTTTCCTCCAATGCAGAAAAAGAGACACGATTCTAGTGAAAAATAAAAAAAATATTACCCCAAAAAAAGAAAGAGAATTTAACCAAGAATCTGGCTGCGACCTTCAAAAACAATCCACGAAACACTTGAATGTGAGTCTGAAGAATCGCATGAGAACAGAGAGTCACGGAGGAGACGGCGGCCCGAGCACGGAACCGGGCAGCGAATAACGGGAGGACACCGGGCGGACCGGAGCTTCAGACCCGGTGGTGGTGGTACAGGGATTGCTGCAGGAGCTCCATCAGGGATCAGGGTGAAAGAAAAAACCTGGTGCTCTCAGCTGTCAAATGTCCACGGTAGAGCCGCTCAGAGGTATTTAAGGTCCGGCTGCGCGTCTGTACGTCTGTCGGTCCTCCGGAGGCTTTAAAAGGAGAAGCGGCTGCTCACGGTGACGCTTACGTCCCTCCCTCTGCGTCGATACGTCATCGTTATAACCCCTCCCCCTTTTCTCTCGGTTCCTTTCACAAGATCACCCTTTGCTTCTTTTCTTTTCTTTTTTTGTTAAATCTCTGACGTCAGACAAGCCCCCCCTTTCCCTTTGTACCTCTGACGTCACAGGGGTCCCCCTCCTCCTCCATATTCATTCAATGTCAGTGAATGCAGAGGTGGGTTACAGTGGTGGAATAACAAAAAAAAACGAAATGTGGTAAAAGAAAGACACATAATAAATAAAATAGGAAATGCAAGTGTATGACATCCTTATTACAGTATATCTGTTTACATAATAACAGAAGTATATATGGAGGGGGGGGAAGTGGAGTTAGATAGAAGAAAGAAGTCGAAAGGTGTACAAGGTCGTATGAAGGTTGGACACTAAATAGGGATATTATCTTTATTTCCTTTAGACTTTCAATTGTCTAACAGGAAAGTGCTTTGCCTTAATTTATCTAACCTTCCTGTTGTCGTTGGGGCAAATATGACCGACTGAGAAGTGTTTGTCAAGTCAGAATAAAGGGTTTTAGTGCATGGTGTGCAAAGGCTAAATGCCTCAATTGGACTCTTTGTTTACTTCCTTAACATAGTGACATCACTATGGAACACTAGTGCTCCTATTGGCTAGCGCTCCAACACATTGTACGTGATAGGCTAAGGGGCGGGACATCGTCCTCGAGGACGTAGCATCCTTGAAATAGTGGCTCTGGAGCATCCTTCCTTGACATTAAGAAACACCCTCTATTTCTGTCTTTGGCTTCGTGGAAGTTCATACTGGTTTCAAAGTGCTACACGGGGACAGAGGCTTCCACAAAGCTATGATGTTTGTAATATCTGACACGGGATCAAGTTGTGTTTCCAGAAAAGCAGAAGGTTTTTTTTATAGCTTCTTGGTAGTTTAAATACGAGTCTCTTTGTTGACAGTTCCAGGAAAGCTGAAGGAAAGCAGTCCAATTTGAAGGCTTTCTGTTAGTGGACTAGTTTAAATATAAGTACCAAATAACTCCACAGTTTCTGGTTTGATTTCAGTTCCTTGACACACTCCATCGGACTCCTTTGTTTACTTCCCAAACTTAGTGACATCACTATGTAACACTTACGCTCCTATTGGCTAGCGCTCCAACACATTGTACGTGATAGGCTAAGGGGCGGGACATCTCTAAGCTGTTGACCAATCACAACAGAGCCGGCCAGCTAACCAATCAGAGCAGACTGGGCTCTGGTTTCAGACAGAGGGTGAAAAGAGGTGCTGCATCACAGGCAGTATGAGAAAAATAAAGAGCTTTTTGAACATTAAAGCATGGAGACATGTAGAGACACTACATACTGATATACACCTGAACATCAGCAGGAGAGGACTCTTTAAAGTAGAGACACTGCATACTGATATACACCTGATCATCAGCAGGAGAGGACTCTTTAAAGTAGAGACACTACATACTGATATACACCTGAACATCAGCAGGAGAGGACTCTTTAAAGTGGAGACACTACATACTGATATACACCTGATCATCAGCAGGAGAGGACTCTTTAAAGTAGAGACACTACATACTGATATACACCTGAACATCAGCAGGAGAGGACTCTTTAAAGTAGAGACACTACATACTGATATACACCTGAACATCAGCAGGAGAGGACACTTTAAAGTAGAGACACTGCATACTGATATACACCTGATCATCAGCAGGAGAGGACTCTTTAAAGTAGAGACACTACATACTGATATACACCTGAACATCAGCAGGAGAGGACTCTTTAAAGTGGAGACACTACATACTGATATACACCTGATCATCAGCAGGAGAGGACTCTTTAAAGTAGAGACACTACATACTGATATACACCTGAACATCAGCAGGAGAGGACTCTTTAAAGTAGAGACACTACATACTGATATACACCTGAACATCAGCAGGAGAGGACTCTTTAAAGTAGAGACACTACATACTGATATACACCTGAACATCAGCAGGAGAGGACTCTTTAAAGTAGAGACACTACATACTGATATACACCTGAACATCAGCAGGAGAGGACTCTTTAAAGTAGAGACACTACATACTGATATACACCTGAACATCAGCAGGAGAGGACTCTTTAAAGTAGAGACACTACATACTGATATACACCTGAACATCAGCAGGAGAGGACTCTTTAAAGTAGAGACACTACATACTGATATACACCTGATCATCAGCAGGAGAGGACTCTTTAAAGTAGAGACACTACATACTGATATACACCTGAACATCAGCAGGAGAGGACTCTTTAAAGTAGAGACACTATATACTGATATACACCTGAACATCAGCAGGAGAGGACTCTTTAAAGTAGAGACACTACATACTGATATACACCTGAACATCAGCAGGAGAGGACTCTTTAAAGTAGAGACACTACATACTGATATACACCTGAACATCAGCAGGAGAGGACTCTTTAAAGTAGAGACACTACATACTGATATACACCTGAACATCAGCAGGAGAGGACTCTTTAAAGTAGAGACACTACATACTGATATACACCTGAACATCAGCAGGAGAGGACTCTTTAAAGTAGAGACACTACATACTGATATACACCTGAACATCAGCAGGAGAGGACTCTTTAAAGTAGAGACACTACATACTGATATACAGCTGAACATCAGCAGGAGAGGACTCTTTAAAGTAGAGACACTACATACTGATATACAGCTGAACATCAGCAGGAGAGGACTCTTTAAAGTAGAGACACTACATACTGATATACAGCTGAACATCAGCAGGAGAGGACTCTTTAAAGTAGAGACACTACATACTGATATACACCTGAACATCAGCAGGAGAGGACTCTTTAAAGTAGAGACACTACATACTGATATACAGCTGAACATCAGCAGGAGAGGACTCTTTAAAGTAGAGATACTACATACTGATATACACCTGAACATCAGCAAGAGAGGACTCTTTAAAGTAGAGACACTACATACTGATATACACCTGAACATCAGCAGGAGAGGACTCTTTAAAGTAGAGACACTACATACTGATATACACCTGAACATCAGCAGGAGAGGACTCTTTAAAGTAGAGACACTACATACTGATATACAGCTGAACATCAGCAGGAGAGGACTCTTTAAAGTAGAGACACTACATACTGATATACAGCTGAACATCAGCAGGAGAGGACTCTTTAAAGTAGAGACACTACATACTGATATACAGCTGAACATCAGCAGGAGAGGACTCTTTAAAGTAGAGACACTACATACTGATATACAGCTGAACATCAGCAGGAGAGGACTCTTTAAAGTAGAGACACTACATACTGATATACACCTGAACATCAGCAGGAGAGGACTCTTTAAAGTAGAGACACTACATACTGATATACAGCTGAACATCAGCAGGAGAGGACTCTTTAAAGTAGAGATACTACATACTGATATGCACCTGAACATCAGCAGGAGAGGACTCTTTAAAGTAGAGACACTACATACTGATATACACCTGAACATCAGCAGGAGAGGACTCTTTAAAGTAGAGACACTACATACTGATGTACAGCTGAACATCAGCAGGAGAGGACTCTTTAAAGTAGAGACACTACATACTGATGTACACCTGAACATCAGCAGGAGAGGACTCTTTAAAGTAGAGACACTACATACTGATGTACACCTGAACATCAGCAGGAGAGGACTCTTTAAAGTAGAGACACTACATACTGATATACACCTGAACATCAGCAGCAGAGGACTCTTTAAAGTAGAGACACTACATACTGATATACACCTGAACATCAGCAGGAGAGGACTCTTTAAAGTAGAGACACTACATACTGATATACACCTGAACATCAGCAGGAGAGGACTCTTTAAAGTAGAGACACTACATACTGATATACACCTGAACATCAGCAGGAGAGGACTCTTTAAAGTAGAGACACTACATACTGATGTACACCTGAACATCAGCAGGAGAGGACTCTTTAAAGTAGAGACACTACATACTGATATACACCTGGACATGAGCAGGAGAGGACTCTTTAAAGTAGAGACACTTCATACTGATATACACCCAGGGTTCGAGTTATAAACTGAGCTCTATGGGGGTCTTTGAAACTAACGCGTGCGCACGCATGCACGCGCACACACACTCAAACTCAATCACACACACACACGCATGCCCTGGTAAGATATTTTTTTAATTTTGGAGTTAAATGCATCAATCTGGTGCATTTTGAGGGGAAAATAAAGAGACTAGATCTATGGAAACACCCATATGAAACAGATGCCACATCATGTAGACAGACAGTCACCCTGTGTGAGGCAAACCCACATTTGCGCAGCGTTGCGTTCACAATAGCCTACATTAAAAAAAAAAAATCGCTAGGCCATCGGGAAACCTCCCGGCCCTCCCGTTGGCCAGTCTGGGCCTGCCAGCAGACTTGCTACAAACTTAAATATGAAAACATAGCCGTGGGAACATGTTTCAAATGGGGGGGTGCTGTGGGGATGACACCAGGGCCGGTTCTGACCAATTTGCTGCCCTAGGCAAGATTTTTGCTGGTTCAATTATATCATATTTTATCAGTTAACATTTATTTATTCATCCATATTTTTTAATCTCTCCAGTTTTAAAGGATATTGTTGGTTTACTGTCCTATAGTATACATGTGCCAAGAGCAAGGACTGTCTTAGGTAAGACAGCTTTTATGTGCGCAGCTCCACTTGCTTGGAACAATCTTCAGCAAGAATTGAAACTGAGCAATCTCATTCCTCTGCATGTTTTTAAAGCTAGGCTAAATGAAATGCTCGTTGATACTATGGGTACTTGTAAATGTCTATAACTATGTAAATGTATCCTGTAAATATAATGTATGATGTCCTTTATTGTTTTATGTTTCATGTGGAACCTATATGCTGCAGGTCTCCCT